TCTTTCCCAGATCAATCCCATCCGCCATTCAAACACGCTCTAGCATCTTCTATGAACAAAAATAAACCCTCTCTTTATCCTGTGGTGTCTCCTTCTAGCTCATGCCCCATTTCTCTGTTTCCCTTTTCACTGAACCTTTTCAAAAGTGTGTTCTATGCTCGCTGTCTCCAAAGCTTCACCTCCCACGGACTCTTCACCCCACTCCAACCTGGCTTCTGCCCCGTTGCCCGTGAAGCTGCTATTTTGAAGGTGGTAGATGGCCTTCATACAGCCAAATCCATCGCCACATCTCTGTCCTCATCTTACCCGACGTCCAAGCAGCACTGGTGTGATGGGCCCCATCTGCCCAAGCACTGTCCTGTCGGAGCATTGATGGCACTGCCTTCTCTTGGTTTCCCTTCTACCTCATGGGCTCTTTATTTCAAACTCTGGCCTGACTCCTCCTCTGCCCACTTCCTAAATGTGGAATGTCAAGGGCTTGCCCCTAACTCCTTTTTTTTTTTTCCTCTTTCTTCTTTCCCCTCTTTTCTCTTCTCTCGCCTCTCCTCCCCACCTATCTCCAACATTCTGCTTCATCTCAACTCTTTCTCTGGGTGACCTCGTTTCATTCCATTGACTGTCTTTATTAACTAGTTCTAAATTTATATCTACCATCTTTCTCTCCCCGAGGCCCAGGTTCTTATGATTGCTTTCTTGATGTCTGCACTTGGATTTCAAACTTAAAATGCCCAGTAGAGATTTCCTAGCACCCTACACACCTTCCTCCAAACGAAATAGTTTCTTCCCTGTCTCAGTACAGTGCCCCCATTGTTCAGGCCATAAGTCTAGAGGAATTATTCCTAGTTCTTTTTCCCTTGCTTCCATCAGCCAATTCATCAAGTCCTATAGGTTGTGCCTCTGAAACACGCTTAACTCTTGACATCTCCTCCACTGCCTATTCCAGCCTACAATACTACAATAGGCTTCAAATTCTTCTTTTATCTTCACTTTCCAACCCGTTCTTCACACAACAGCCAGGGTGATCTTTTTATTTTTTTTAATTTTTATTTATTTATTTTTGAGACAAGGCCTGGCTTTGTCGCATAGGCTGTAGCGCAATGGCATGATCTCAGCTTACTGCAAGCTCAGCCTCCCAAGCTCAAGCGATCCTCCTATCCCAGCCTCCCAAGTAACTAGGACTACAGGCATGCACCACCATACCCATATTCACCATATTGCTCTGGCTTGTCTCAAACTCCTGGGCTCAAGCAATCCTCCCAACTCAGCCTCCCAAAGTGCTGGGATTGCAGGCGTGAGCCACCACACCCAGCCAGCATGATATGTATATATATGTAAAATACATGTATATGTTATATATAGTATATATGTAACAGTTTTATTGAGATACAATTCACATACCATCCAATTTACCCATTTAAAGGGTACAACGAAATGGTTTTTCATATATTCAGAGATGTGCAAGCATTACCACAATTTCAGAATAGTTCAATCACTCTGAAGAGAAACCTCATACTGTTTAGCTAGAGGATGATCTTTTTAAAATGTAAAATCAAGTTATGTTATTTGCTTGTGTAAAATCTTCCAATGACTTCACTTTGCCCTTGGAATAATAATCAGACTCCTTATGACCTACAAGTCATACCTCACCTGCCCTCTGCACAAGATCCCTGCATTTGATTCCTCAAGGCCCTCTACCTGGCAGGTTTGGAATTCTCTGACTCTTCCTGTGGCTGGCTTCTCTTCATTCTCAGAAGCGCCAATGCCACTTCTCTTCTAGAGGCCGTCTCCAATTACCTTGTCTAAAGTTCCCCTCAGCCCCAACCCCAGAAGTTATCTACGTCAACTCCATGTTTTATTTCCTTCACAGCATGTCACTGCTATCTGATTTGCTTACTAGTTTATTTTCTCTCTTCCTCATGAGGGCAGGCACTTCATGAGGACAAGCACCTTGAACTCTTAATCACTGATACAGTCCCAGAACCTGGAATGGTACTTGATAAATACATATGGAATGAATGGATGGACATGCAAGGAAACTTTTTAGATAATACTTTCCCCAGATATTAAGTACTTTAGAATATTACTTTCCAAAAAACATGAATATGTCAAGTCGAAAAAAGTCATGTGACTTTTTAAGATCTTATCAGTCTTTTGAAGTCCACTTAGGGATGACCCCTCAGGGTCCCCTTGGGGTCTATGTTCCCATCCACCAGGAGAGTGTTGATTGGAAAGATGAGGGAACACTCATCTAGGACGGCCATCTCAGCTATGGCCAGCCCTTCTGGCATGGTCTTGGCTTACTCAGAAAAAGAGGAAGTGCCCTGTATGGGCTCAGGTCTAGCATTAAGTGATATAGGACTCCTTCCAAAATTTTCTCATTTGGCCTAATGTAGTGCCTAACATCCTTTGGAATTTATTCCTTTAGGTACTGAAATTCTAATCTTGTAGAATCTTCTGTTAAAAGGTAGACACTTCAAAAAGATGTAATACTGTGAACCATCTTTAAGTCTCTCTGAATACAGCTAACATTATAAAATTCTTTTTTATTTATTTTATTATTATTATCATCGAGACATAATCTCACTCTGTTGCCCAGGCTTGAGTGCAGTGATGTGATCACGGCTCACCACAGCCTCAATCTCCAGGGCTCAAGAGATCCTCCTGCCTCAGCCCCTTGAGTAGCTGGAACTACAGGTACACACCACCACACCCAACAATTTTTTTTTATCTTTTATTTTTTTGTAGAGATGATGTCTCACTATGTTGCCCAGCCTGTTCTTGAACTATTGGCCTCAAACAATTCTCCCAATTTGGTCTCCCAAAGTGCTGGGATTACAGGTGTGAACCACTGCACCTGGTCTATAAAATTCTTAGCTGACAAAGACATTAGTTATCTGGACTTGCTTTCCAAATGCTTCCAAATGTACAGGTCAGTAACTGGGAGCAAGAACTTATAAGAATGATGCCCAGAAAAGAGGCCTGAGGGAGTCTGGAGAAGCAGGAGGTCCATGGAGCCCTAAAGAGAAACCTAGTCCATCTCTAATTTTGCCCAAAGCTGCCCTCCTTTGACCCTAAGATTTCTCCTGGGCTATAACCACAAAGATATAGGACAATTCTGTGCATTTTCAAGTTGTGCAGGCAGTAAGCAGCATCCCTGAAGTCTCTAATAATGGAAGGCAGTAAACAAGCTGGTTCTTGGGGGAATTCAGCTCCACCCTAATGAGGGGGCTGACTGGCAGCATGTGGTGATCCGGACAGGCTCCCGTGGGGATCAACTGACAGTGGAGGGATTTCCACTTTGATTTCATAGTCACAGGGCAGTGACTGAGTCCTGATGGTTCAGCACCCTCTTCACATGAGTAACTGCTAAAAGGAGTATGGCCAGTGACTAATTGGAAAATTTCGTTATTAGATTTCCTAACCCCAAGTGAGCCACTCAGTAACCATATATTCAGGGACACTTATGCCTGACCTCTCTTAGGACACATGATTATTTTTAGCAGTCTGACTTTCTTATATTGAGAAATTCAGTTTAATATCAGTGTACCAGCTGGGTGCCAGTACAGGCTAACGCCTGTAATCCAAGCACTTTGGGAGGCCGAGGCAGGCGGATCACGAGGTCAAGAGATCAATACCATCCTGGTCAACATGGCGAAACCCCGTCTCTACTAAAAATACAAAAATTAGCTGGGCATGGTGGCGCATGCCTGTAGTCTCAGCTGCTTGGGAGGCCAAGGCAGGAGAATCGCTTGAACCCGGGAGGCAGAGGGTGCAGTGAGTCGAGATCGCGCCACTGCACCCCAGCCTGGAGACAGAGCAAGACTCCGTCTCAAAAGAAAAAAATATGTATGTATCAATGTACCCTTGTTTTTAATGTCTCTTTTCCTTGCTGTAATTTCCACACTATTTCCTGGCTTGGAATAAACCTTTATTTGTTGTAATTGAGCTGATTGGCCGTGGCTGAGAGGTTGCGGGTATTGTTTCCCCACTCTAAATAAGGCCTTCATTGCATTTTATAAGACATAGACTTTTTAAGGGGAATGTCTCACTAAAATTGCATTGATGGCTTGTTGCTGTGCTACCAGCTCAGCTGGATGTGAGAAAGCACCATTGTGACTTTTTCCTCTGCTTCATATTAGTGTCAGCTGAGAATAATTTTTTATCCTATTCACTTCCTGTGAAAAGGGATGATTTGGCCTTAGCATAAGACAATTTTAAGAAACCTAATTGGAAGCAAAATTGCTCTCTTATTGCAAGAGAGTTTTCACATATCCAAATGCCAATGGTGACAGCTTTGCAGTATTTCTCTGCTTTTAATAATATAATTTTAGAGGAAAAATAGTAAGAGACATTGCAATGCAATGCAAATACCACCTGCCATTGCTTTTCCCACCACTGGTATCTTATATTCCTTATTCATGTGATGCCAGCAAGCGAGACATGGAAACTCGAGGAAAAGGGAGAGGATCCTGCCATGTATCTGTTTTGTTTTGGTTTGGTTTTTCATTCTTATGTGCTAATGATTGTAGTAAAGATCTGAAGTTTATGGTAGTCATCAATGTGATATTTTAATAGAGAAATCACATGAGCCTTAGATACATACATAACTAATTTTGCTTGTAAACTCATTGAGACATGGGTCACATCTCTGATTAGTTCAGTCAAGATCTCAGCAATGAATGAATGAAGCCAGACCAAGAAACTGGTTTCTTGAGTAAAATTGTATATTTCAAAGAACTGTTCTGGTGCCATGGAGACAGAGCTGTAGAAAAATTCCTATGGTTTGCTGAACCAGGGACCTTGATAATAATGGGGAAAATAAATTCCTGGAAATGATCTCTAACCAAAGACTGACCCTAACATCCGTATAGTTTGAAATGTCACCTACTTGATATTCTGCTCCTTGCTGCCTATGTGCACAAACACGCAGCTAAAGCAAACCTGATGAATAACAGAGGACAGGGACCGGGTATGTGCTTATTTTTATTTGGGTTCTATACCTTGAATGGCAGCTCGATTCCATAGTAGAAGCGCCATTGGATACATCTTCTCTTTTTCAAGAATGTTAGCCTTTTCTAAAAAAAGGAGACATTCCGTTAGGAAGGCTTAAAATGCCTCTGTAGTAAAGTCATATATGCATATGTATGATTGGGGGATTGCAGAGAATTTTAACTTATCTTACTAGATTCCAAAATGAATGCTGAATTGCTTTGAGCCACTTCATATCCCATTTCTGCAAGCAGTGCATACTGAACAAGAGAAGAATCTATATCACCATCCTTATAGGCAAAGTAAGCTGTCAGGAATTTCTCAGCCCAGTGGCCTAGTTCACAGACACCTTTATAAAGCTGTATATGGGAGGAGAAATCAAGGAGACTAGTTAGCTAGTATGCTTCACCCCAGGCAAATGAGAAATGAAATCAGTCTTCAGCTCCTACGGGCTGGTCAGGGAAGGATTTTAGGTCTATATTTTGCAAATTATTTAGGGTAAAGAGTTAATACCTTTTATAGGCACAAAGATCAGAAGTGTTTGGGTTTGTTTGTTTTGTTTTTGTCTTGAGGGAAACTTCCTCAACCTTATTTTAAATTTGTATAATAAACTTTCCTGACTTGGAGGCTATGTGGAAGAATAAGAATGTATCGCTAGTGTGTGTGTGTGTGTGTGTGTGTGTGTGTGTGTGTTTTAAAGGGACTTTCTGAGCACTGCGGCTCTGCAAGGGCAAGTTATAAGGCCACAGCTGATGTGAAAAGGAGAGAATGAAGGGAAGACAGTGCCGGAGGGTGTAGGTGACATAACTGTGAGGAAGGTGTGCAGAGCCCTAGGGGGACAAATGTCAACTTAGCTGAATAGCCCTTATGTAACCAAAAGAGGTTAGCCATACATAATTCATTAGGAAGTTGGCAAAGGAGCAAATCTAAAGATAGATCATTAGCTGGCAGCTTTTGAAATGAGCTTCAGAGGGGCCAGATTGCAACATAGAGTATTTATGCTGGTGCAGCAGACGTGTTTAATAAATCAATGAAGGACATTAAGGTCCTAAAAGCATTCTTTTGGAAAGCGCATCATTGGCTCAGACTGAGAGAATTCACTTTCTCAATTGTCATCCAAATCATCAAAAACCAAAGGATGCTGCTTTCTGGGAAGAAGTGGGCTACATTTTCTAGGCTAAATCTAGCCTTTCGTTTCCCAAGTAGCAACTCCCTATCCCACTAGAAGTGCCAAATTGTCCTGGTGATTTGATTGAATGCTGAAACAGAGCTCCTTAACTGCATATTGAGGTGAGCTCTGAACTTGACGAAAAGCCAAATGTCAGAGAGAGGAGAGATCTTTTCTCTGTCTCCCCCACCCTGAGTTACATCACTGCTTTTCCCCTCTGACAAATGTCAGTATTCACATTGTCAACTGGAAGAAAAGAGGTAATATTTATAAAATCAAAGACACCAACAATTTAAGAACAGTATCACCTCCTCTGTGTCATATATGACAAGTGCTTTAAAAACAGCCTCATATTGTATTTACCTCCACAGCAGTTCTGCATGATCTTACTACTCCTGTTCCTGTTGCATACATCTCGGCCAGATAATAAATGGCGAGGGGCTGCCCACTCTGAGATGCCAAGTAAAAATATTTGAAGGCAAGTTTATAATCCTTCCATATTCCAGAGCCAGCTGAAAATTAAAATCGTTTTAAGCCATCCCTTATTGACTTTATTTTTTATATTATAATCACTGGATACAATAGTCATTGTGATGCCTGCTATTTAAATACAATGGGAAAAACCAACCAAAAGTCAAGCTACTCTAAATCCACTATTTGTGAAGGTGGGGGTGAACACTGAGTTTGGTTCTAAGTAAGAATATGGAAATTTATATTCTTGAGCCGTTCTGAAAAAAAAAATCGAGAAAGAAGGACTACTTAGTCTTGTGAAAGTATCTCCCCACTATGGCATAACTAAAGTTAATGCAAAGGAAACCAAGTGATGGTCTCTGAGGACCCGAAGCCCCACCATGATGCATCTTGCCATCTTTGTCATCCTTCCTTATCAGGGCACCCATATAGCTTCTCCCAGCCACAACTGTGGCGTATGCAGCAGGTAAATCCCAGCTCCAAGAAGCCAAACTCTCACCAAACTCCTGCTTAGAGCAGGAATAGGCATTTGAAGCTAGATCAGAGAACCAGCAGACTCCCAGCAGCCAAAATTCTTGTCCTGGCTCTCTCATTAGTTCTTTTGTGAGTTGGGCACTTTATTTGCAAAGGTGAAGGCTTTCCTTAGATGGTCTTTAAGTTATCTTCCAGCTCTAACACTGGAGCCTTTAGAAGCAGTGCCACGTAGCGATTAAGAGCAAAAGCTCTGGAGGCAAATAGCTTGAGTTTGAATTCCAGCTCCACAACTGTGTGATCCTGGGCAAGATGACCAGCCACAACATTGGCTTAGTTTGCTCATCTGTCCACTGTGGGATACTCCGTAGATGTGTTGAGAGGATCAAATGAGTTAAAACATACAAAGACTTAATATACATTAGCCATGACTATTTTTCTTATTCTAGAAACTTGGGAAATCTGGTAGATCCCGAGCCAAGAACTTGGAATGAACTAAAAGAATGAGGCCATCTTAGGCAACCTCAACCCCCCAAGATAGTACAAAACAGGTGCTCCTGCTGGGCCACTGTGGAAAATGCCAGTGACCCCTTGACTGGATGTGACCTCGTTGATGATGCGGTCTGCTGCTGCCCTGGCTCTGCCTCTGACATGAAGGACTTGGTGGGGATACTCAGGTGTGTTCAGATGTCCTGCTGTTTATCTTGGCCACTTCCTCTCTCACTCCCCATAGAGATTATTACAAACTTTCATGGCTTTCTGAGACCTCCTAGCCAACCACTCTACTTTTGCTCACAGAAGTCAACTTTGTACCTACTAGATCATTGAAGAAAACTTCATATCGTCTTTCCTCACTCGCCTCTCTCCCCATCCCATTCCCCCATACTTAGATTCGCATCATCCTTTCCACCCTCCCTCCAGTCTTTGAGGCTGAGCAATCCTGCCTATCTATCAAGGTTAAAGAGGCTTCTACTGCTCTGCACCCAATCAGGTGCTAATACCACCAACGTTTTTCAGAGTCTCTTTCCATCAGTTACAATTATGCTCAGGTCTCTTGCCATCTTAAAAGTAACACCCTCTGGGTCCTTAGTCCCCCTAATGCTGAGTTCCTTCTCTCTCTTTCCCTTTAAGGGCATGCTGCTTGCAAGAATACTTTTATTTCTCAACTTCCTGATCTCAAATTCATGCCATTGTCATCCGGCTTCCACCCCAAGCAGTCCAATGACCTCACCCACATTCTCTGTATTGCCAAGTCTTATAGATATCTCATTCTTTCTTACTTGTTTTTTTTTTTTTTCTCTTTTTTTGAGATGGAGTCTTGCTCTGTTGCCCATATTGGAGTGTAGTGGTGTGATCTTGGCTCACTGCAACCTCCACCTCTTGGGGTCAAGCGATTCTTCTGCCTCAGCCTCCTGAGTAGCTGGGACTACAGGTGCCCCTCACCACACCAGGCTAATTTTTGTATTTTTAGTAGAGACGGAGTTTCACCATATTGGCCAGGCTGGTCTCGAACTCCTGACCTCGTGATCCGCCCGCCTCGGCCTCCCAAAGTGCTAGGATTACAGGCGTGAGCCACCATGCCTGGCCTCTTGTTTTTTAAACCAGGTTTCTCACTGCGTTTCACAGGGGTGCTCATTCATTTACTCTTCCTTGAAAGTTCTTCCCTTGGC